GTGCCCTAGGAAGACGAGTTGATTAGATTGATTCTTGAGGAGGCTCATTATTCTCGATAATCCATCCATCAGAGATCAGTGAAGATGTATCATCATCTGAGATGGAAAAACTAGTGGTGTGGTATGAAGAGGGATATTTAAGATTTGGTGTCTAGATTCTTGACTTTTCAATAGGTCAAGTGTGAGCACCATCGATCCGAGGTGTGTCGTAGAGCATAACTAATCCTACTTGGAAGTGGGAACAGATAACCAAGATTTTTTTCTAGGTTTGCCTACTACCCTGGGTGGTTATGACGTTATATTGGCAGTCGTCGATAGGCTGACCAAGTCCACCCATTTCATCCCAGTTCAGGTAAAGTATACGATAGAAAAATCAACTCAATTTTACCTTAGTCACATAGTCCGACTTCATGGTGTGCCTACTTCCACTGTCTTTGATCGAGGTGCACTATTTACATCCCACTTTTGGAGAGGTTTACAACATGATTTGGTTACTTTATATATGATTACAATGTTTCACCTTATACAGACAGGCAGTCTGAGCAGACAATTCAAGTGTTCAAGGACATGCTTCGAGGATATGTGATTGACTTTAGTTCTTGACAAGATCAACACCTGTCCTTACCAGAGTTTTCTTATAATAAGAGTTATCGCTCCAGTTTTTAGATGGACCCATTTGAGACATTATATGGTAGATGGTGCACATATATGGTTGGTTGATATAATTATGTTAAGATGGACTCTTTAGACACAAAATTTCTTAAAGATGCCATGGAGCAGATCCATATGGTTTTGGGTAGACTGTTGGTAGTCAAGAGAAGACATAAGAGTCATGCAGACCAAATAGTTCAATCCTTAGTATTTATAGAGGGTGATCATGGATTCAAATTTCACCCATGAAGGTTGTGATGAGATTCAAGGAGAAGAGCAAATTTAGCCCTAGATTCATTGGTCTTTTTGATATTTTGAGCTAAGTAAGAGAGGTGGCCTTGAAGCAGGTTTTTCCTCCTAGCTTGTCAGTTGTGCATTATGTGTTTCATATCTCTATGCTTCGAAGTACAGTTAGATGAGTCTCATGTACATTCTCTTGATTCGGTAGTGTAGGAGATACGCTTGTCATTTGAGAAGAAGTATATTTCCATTCTGGATAGGCAAGTTTGAAACTTAGGAGTATAGAGATTGTGTCAATTAAAGTGGAAGCACTATCTAGTTGGAGTGGCAACTTTGAGAAGAAGCATATTTCCATTCTCGATAGGCAAGTTTGAAAACTTAGGACCATAGAGATTGCATCAATTAAGGTGCAGTGGAAACAACATATAGTTAGAGTGGCAACTTGGGAGATAGAGTCAGATATATGGGCCAAATATCCTCAATTATTCGAGGTTTAATTTATTTCCTTTTACTTTATATTCGAGAAATAACATGGTTTTAATATTAGGTAATGTAATGACCCGATCAGTCATTTTAAAAATTTTCTATTCTACTCCGTAGAACGATTACCCCGAGACATTTCTGGTTAGAATTGTGAAATCTATTCTGAGTAGAAAGTTATGAGTTGTGGAAATTTTAGAGTTTTGAAAGACTAAAGTTTTTAAAAAGTAGTTTCGATTTATTTTGTTTCGAGCCTTGGAATAGAATTCTGTCAAATCCATCGGTCCTTAAATATGAAATTTTTTCTATGAGTGTCATCAATTTAAAATTCAAAGTCTTTTCATAGATTATAAATCTTGAGTTGAATTTTTTTGAGAATTTAACCATTGGGTTGATTTTGGCCAATTCCAGAGTTTGGATGCTCGAATTTGATTTCTGATAGTCCCATTAGATGTGGGGGATGATTTTAGGCTCCATTAGATGTGGGTGAATGATATTAGGCTCTATTAGATTTTGCGGATGATTTTAGGCCCAGAAGAGGTCTTAGTTGAATTTTTGGCGGTCTCGAGCTTGATTTATCCTTTTTAGGCGTTCTTTTTTTTTTTGTGACTTTAATCAATTTAAATACTACGGGACCGATAATTCATATTTCAGTGGTTCCACTGAGTTCGGAACATCGAGATTAGTTGAGTAGCATATTGGGTTTGTATGTGCGGGGTTCTAAACAAATCCCAAGGCTCCATTCATAATTATTTGTATCGATTGATAATTGCTTATGACTAAAGTCCTCACGTTCGTGAAGGTTCTTCGCTTTCGCGAAAGTCACATTAGCTAATAATGGCTTGTGTTTGCAAAGGGTCAGGAGGGCTAACCTTTGCTTTCACGAAGGACTCGTCACTTTTGCGACCTTAGCCTTAGCGAATGGACAACTCGCGAAAGCGAGGCTGGTAAATTATATGGGGTTCACTTTCGCAACTAATCCTTCGGTTTTGCGAAGCTCGTGTTAGTGATCTTGTTCTGCAAAAACGAGATCTTCAAGGCTTTTGGTCTGAAATTGCGAGGTTTCATTCCCTTTTTTCACCTTTTTGAGCTTTAAGAACTCTTGTGGAGCGATTTCAAAGATATTTTTGTAGTCATTCTTTTGTGTAAGTCTCTATGAACCCAAACCTTTGATTCCTTATTATCATTGTTGTTGTTAACATCAAATTAAGTATTTTGAATGACAATGTTTGGGAATTTTAAGAACTTGGGGTTTTGGCTAAAATAGTGATTTTGGGGGTGAGTACCCCTTTGTTTTCGAAATAATTTTCATCAATGGATTTGAAATGTTATGGTTAACATATTCATGTAACAATTTTTATATTCAACCTTTATTTTCGACATCGAGTGGTTTTTTAATCAATTTGACCACTTTATTTAAATTGCTTGACATGGGAGTTGTTAGTTCCCTTGTTTGACTAGATTATGTTGGTTTGAATATTGTTTTGAATTGGATAAACTTAAGTCTTGGAAAATTTTTTGATTGATTAAGGCAAGTGAACTTCTGAACCTTGTTAGAACTTGTAGAATCTTGAGTCCTCATTGTTGTTTCTGTTTGGGAGTAATAAGAATGAGATGATGGGCGAATTGATCAAATTGAATAAACTTGATGATAGAAATGAGGTCAATACGTGTTGATGATATTATTTTGAGTTGTGTGAATTGCCTTTGAGTGTTTGATATTGAATTGGTGGTCATGTGACTGTTATTAATGTCAAGGTCATTGTTGGTGAGTGTTATTGATGTCGAGGTCATTATTGGTGAGTGTTATTCATGTCAAGGTCATCACATGAGTGTAATTGATCCAGAGGTCATGGGGAACTCGTTTATTGATGCCGAAGTTATTATCGACGCGTGTTATTAATGATGTGGTCATTTCCAGCAGATATATGGACTGTGGGTGTTTCCTATAAGTCTATATTGATTTTGTGATGGATAAACTTGATTATTATAATCGATAACTTGATACTTGTGGTTGATAAACGTGATACTTGAGATTGATGAACTTGACTTTGATAGTTGTGATTGATGACCTTGACACTTGCGATTTGATAAAACATAATTGGTGGACTGTTATATGAATTTTTGTGAGTTGTATATCGTAAATTGTAGTTGTGGCGGTTCGATTTAGATAAAGGAGTTCTCGTTTTTCTAATCTAGTTTTACTTGTTCTTAGTGAATTTCTTGTTGAGTACCATGTTGTTTGGTACTCACTCCTTGCTTCTGCACTTGTGTGTGATCGTAGCCCGGATCTATGTGATTATCCTCCTTCTATCTACTTTTGACGTTTTATAGTGGATACTGTCATCCCGACAGACTCTGTTGTTCCTTACTTATGTTTTGTTCCATTCTAGAGAGAAAGACATCGAGACTATCTTTCAAACTCTATTTTCTATACATTAGTGACTTGTACACAGGAAAATCAAGTTTTGGGGTTGTTTTTAAAAATATTAAGTATTTTCATGCTTATAATTATTAGTTTATTTCCTTATTTTTCTTGGGTATTGTTGAATTTTAGGCTGACTTGTCTTGGTGGGATCATACGAGTTTCATCATGTCTATTTTTGGATCGTGACAGATATATTTAATTCGATGAAGAAATATTCTTAAGTATCCTAATCTTGATTTAGTTTAATTTTATGATGCTTGAGTGTCGTATATGAACTATAAAATAAGAAAGGCAGCTAGTGACCTAATATAAAACTAGAATTCATGTTCGTAGGAATCCTCAATATGGGCTTTATATTTATCAGACATACTCTATAACAAGCTAGAGTAATACTATGTCAAAAATATGAATTAATAGTCAATTATAAGTTTATTTGGATTAATTTATTTTAGGTATTTTTAAAAGAAAAAAGTTTTACCATTCAAGAATGAATGACCCAAATACTTTCGAATGCCTCAATACCCGAATCAAATATTAAACGTTCAAAATCCGCATCAATTATTAAATGCCTCAAAATCGAAATCAAATATTGAATGCCCCGAAACCTGAATCAACTATCAAACCAAGTCAACAATTATCATAGAGATTTATCAGGATTTAATTTCAAACTTGATAAATTTTGACTTTGGTCAAACCTGAAAAACTCACCTGATATTCTTTTGATCACCTAAAAAGTACAATATCAGTCAAATAATACATCAAAACTATAAAATAAAAGGTAATTTTTTTTAATAAAAAATCCACTTAGAAAACTCAAAATGACAGTAAGGATCGTTACAATATAATTATCGTCATTTGAAATTTAAGAAAATAAATTTTTCTCATGATCATAATAGAAACTATTAGGATTTTCACGTAAAATCTATCTTTGTATTTAAGGGATTAATAAACGGAGTTCCGGTAAAAACAAAACCATATATATCTCCTATACTTGTATAGTTGTATTGTAGATGAAATTATAAATACTACAATAATCAATTGATTTGCTGGCATACTCTTGTCTTCTAGTGGAGTAATATTTATTTATATTTTTCGTTATTTTTTGTCTCCCTTGGTCAACTATATATTTTCTTAACACGACTTAATAAAATAATAATATAGAAAGCTCAGTCACTCTTAATCATTTAGTTCAAAAAATCAGTAGAATAAAAAATTTCAATAAACTAAGGCTACACATCTCTTATTTATTTCAAGTAGCTAGAATTATATTGTAGTTGCAAAAATGATGGGTCTAATAATTTGGTTTTCTCTAATAATTGGCATACCATTTGGGACGTGTGTTGGCAGCTATGACAGATCATTGTTATCAGTTCCCAAACAAAAAACCCTCTTTGTTTTTGGTGATTCTCTCTTTGATCCTGGGAATAACAACTACATCAACACTACTACTGAATTCCAAGCTAATTGGTCGCCTTATGGTGAATCCTTCTTCAATCCTCCTACTGGCAGATTTTGTGATGGTCGTCTCATTCCTGATTTTATTGGTAATGTTACATCCACCTCTGATCTACTCTGTACAAAGATATTTGAGTTTAGATGTATAAAAAATATACGGTAGTAGTTACGATATAAATATTTCTAAAAACAACTTTTATAGTTGAGTAACCCTAAATTTGGATAGAATTGTTTAATAATGTATATTGTAAAGATAAAAGTACTTGAACAGCTGGAAGTGTTATAATTATGTATGTTTATAAATATCATCATATGGAATGGAAGTTAATTGGTTTTATTGTTTTCAAATAGCTGAATATGCTGAGCTTGCATTGGTTCCATCTTATTTTGAGATTGGAAAAGACAATTTTGTCCATGGAGTGAATTTTGCATCAGGAGGAGCTGGCTGTCTAGATGAAACTTTTCGTGGCTTTGTAAGTCATATTTTTATTTTGATTCTTCCTTGCAACACAAATTCAAATAATATAAGAGTGATTAAAGATGAATAGGGTCAGTCAACTCATTGGGCATAGTGATTCTTCAAAAATATCTCTAGCCAAACACATACACAGCCTCTCAAACTTGCTCTCTTTTTTTAGTGTGACACTTCATCTTAGCATTGATCCATTTCAATTCTTTTATTTTCATTTCTTATGTACTATTTAAACACGAAATATTATTTTTATGTTATTTTTTTATTATTTTATTTTCGTCAATTGCAGTTTTTTATTTTAAAAATCGATGTGACTTTATTAATTTTCATTAAAAAAAAAAGAAGGAAAATCTATCCTTACTTGAGGAAATTTCTAATTACCTTAGTTTTTTTTATAACAATTTGACCTGTCAGCATAGTAGATGTAGTCCTCTTTTAACTAGAAAAGATATCATCACTAGCTAATTAATTTTATTTTTATTTTTTTGAAATTGCAGGTTATTGATCTTAAAACACAATCAAAATATTTCAAGAAAGTGACCAAAGATTTAAAGAAAAAGTTTGGAAGAAAAAAGTCTAAACAACTCCTGTCCAATGCAGTATACGTATTTAGTGCAGGAAATAATGATTACTTCAATTTTAACGCAACGTATCCAAAACATGAATATGCAAACATGGTAATCGGCAACTTGACATCTGTTATCAAGGTAATTACATTTTAATGGCACTGAAGAATTAAAAGTGATAAATTACTACTATTTTTTTAGTTTTCGAAACACAATATCTAATTTTATCACAGTAGACAAGTAAAAGGAATAATATTTTTGTTAAATTTGTTTGAAACAGGGAATATACAAGGAAGGAGGGAGAAAATTTGTGGTCCTTAGTTTGGGACCTTTGGGTTGTACACCAGGTTCCAGGGCTCTTAAAAATGGCAACTGCATACAACAACTCACAACCCTTGCAAAAATACACAATTCAGCTTTGGCTAAAATGCTAAAGCAACTAGAACAACAATTGCTTGGATTTAAGTATTCCTTATTTGATTTTTTCAAAGTTGCTAGTGAAAGAATTAACAATCCTTCAAAATATGGTAAGTTTCTCTTCCTCTAACTCTACCTTTTGGAGTAACAAATTACAATGTTGAAGGTGCTTTTCTAACATGCATGTGTATATTTGTGTAGGGTTTAAAACATCAAAATCGGCTTGTTGTGGGACGGGTCCATTCAGAGGAACCTCTAGTTGTGGAGGGAAGAGACAAGTAAAAGAGTACAAGTTATGCAAAAATGTAAAGGATTACCTATTTTTCGACTCTGGTCATCTCACAGAAATGGCATACAAACAAGTTGCTGAATTACTATGGAATGGCACTGTGGATGTCATTCAGCCTTACAACTTGAAGTCATTTTTCCATCTACCAGCATAGCTTATAACTCAATAAACAACAATTCTGTTCAACATTTATGATGCAATCATTGTCTCTGAATTCATGCAAATAATTTCCCATCTATCCCTATTGTTTCTCATTCTTCAATTTTTATGTCATACCAAAAAACAATGACACAAGCATGGGGAACGAAGGGGTGAATAAGCAACTTGACATGAAAACAACAACTTGATAGCACATCTTTACAAGGGTAAACAAAATCACAACACACAAGTTCTGTCCTTATGTACCTATGATACAAATATTATTTAACCATTGTTCTACATTGAAGAAACCTTAAGAGTTCTGTGTCAGTATCTCGAACCACCCACTCATTTCCCAAGGATAGCTACACTAGAAACCGGCATTCAAGGTTGAGACTTCTTATAAATGGTATTTCAAGGAAAGTTATGATGCTGAAACTTACCCTGTATTGCTTGCAAAAAAGTTTTTGGCAAAACAATTTTCAAGTTTTAATGGTGTTTGTGTGATAATAGTGTTTGCATACCAAACAAACAATATTGTCTTGACTAAGTGCTTTTCAAAGTATAATGAAGATTTTCAACCCACTAACCTAGACAATGCAACAAAGGAAAATACTTGAGCCAGAATAGGTAGAGGAGCAATAACGTGTCAATATCACAAAACAACAGTTTATAGAAGAGAATAGACAAGTGTTTTCATCTGTGATTTGTTCAAACCAATTTTGTGAAAGAGATCAAGTAACAAAAGAGGCTCATAGTTTCAGAGTCTCGAAGGAATTACCCTAGCGCTTGTGGAAATGGATTCTTTTGTTGAGAACCCAAGTGAATTCACCATGAACTGTACCACTAATTCATGGGCTTTACAACAAAAGTGATGAAATATTATACCATAAACAATGGAAGAGAGATGTCTTTCAGCTCCATTTCTACCAATTCCAAACATCCCTTTCTTTGCAGTATTAGATTCAATTTTTTTAAGTTTAGGGTGTGTTTGGTACGAAGGAAAATGTTTTCCTAAAAAATGTTTTCCTGGAAAACAAGTAGATTTTGGACTTATTTTCTCATGTTTGGTTGGTGAGTAAAAAATATTTTTCGGAAATGATTTTTAGTGTTTGATTTATGAATGAAAAACATTTTTGAGGAATATTTTTTATTTTTAATAGAATACAAAATAATTTATGAAATTGAAAATATTTTTTAAAAATAATTTTTTTTTTGGGTGGTGATGATAAGGGGTGGGGGTAGTGGTGGTGGTGGTGGTGTGTGTGGGGGGGGGGGAGGGGGGTCCCAGAGGGGAGGAGGTAGGAATGAAAAA